ATAGCGATTTATCCGTTGGATAGCGTTATCCGCCCTTTGAACAACCGGAGCCTGATCAACAACAAAATATTTTCCAATGATCGAATTATAGGCGAAGAGCCTGATTTAAAGCAGAGTGGGAAAAATGTTTCAGCTAAACTCCTCTTTGCCGAAGAATACCTTCAGTTGAAATCAAATTACGTTCATCTAGGTTTATAAACTTCATCAGCACCAAAACACGCACTTTACATACCTTGAAGACGCTGAGCCAGATAAAGAAATGAAATCAACAGAAGGTGCAAAAGTTTTGCAGTAAGATACATTTTTGCAACCAATGAAGGTCTCAAAAGAGGTCGACGCGAAATCAAATCGAATCCCTTTGACCCAAAAGTATTTTTTTTCAGTTTTCCTAACACTTTTAAATTACATTTACAAAATTCCTGAAAAATTATGTCATTTAAGTTATCATTGTAAACAGCTTGTGGGAGGCATCTTCTCGTAATCGCTAACAAACCGCATTCTGTTGATAGGTTACTGCGACAATAATGTATCATTTACCGTCAGATTATTATTATTGGTCTAAACTTGGAATAATTATCGTTGTTTGGAAATGATAAAATGCCATCAATTCGAATATAAGAGTTTCGAAACTTCTTTGACAGAGCTAATGTTTGAGTTTGGATTCTACACATTTGCGATGAACTGAAATGATGGAACAGAAAATTTGAAAAAGCGAACAGTTCGTGATGAAAACATTCGTCCTTCCTTGATTTTTCTTCTTTTTTTTTTTTTTAAATGCACTTCCTTCTTTCGTTTTTAGGAAACCATGAATAATTGAAGATGTTTAAATATTTATCGTAAAGAATCATCAAGCTCGTAATTATATCCCGCAGCGAAGGGTTATCAAGCAATCATTTATGTTGAAAATAGAGAATAATTGATGTCCTTTATTTAAAGGGGTGTAGCAATCTATATATCCAAATAGCGACATAATTTACACCCAAAGATCTTAGTCCGAAATCCATTTGTCTCTATAAAATAGCAGCATCTGAATTCAATTTCATTATTGTTTTTGGTTTCAGCCGTTTCGAGGAATGAAGGAAAGTTATTTCAACTTTTAGATCGTTTCATTCATTGCGCCAAAACGGATTTAGTTGTGGCATAGAAATTCTCCCTTCGTGTTGCTGTATTTCACATGAGGCAAACGAATTAATACCAGAAGAAGTTGTATTGGTTGGGTTAGAAGAAACAGAAATGACGGCGTCAAACATGGCTCTCGATAATTCACCTTTTTTGCTGTTTCCTTTCCTTTTATTTTCCTTTTTTTTTTTTTTTTTTTTTTGTTAAACAGATGCATGCTACGAACAGGTAGGATTTTTGTACAATCTCTTATGCGTAAAATCTCATCCTTCACTTTCCAAAACCTCTTAAAGGTCAGTTGGCACTGGGAAATATGGATTCAATGATTGATTGCCAAATAGCAGAAAAAAAAACTGTTGATTTTGCTAGGTTAACTTATATAGATCTCAAGATGTACGCGCATCTTCGTTCAGTACGCGTTTTCCTACCCATAGTCCTCTGTTGTGCTCACGTAATCGGTGGGGTGGTTCTGGGTATTAGAGTACAAAATCGAGTGCCCCTGGGTACTAGAGTAAAGATGGCGAGTTCGTCGAGTGTACCAAGTGATATATATCCACATATTTACTCATTTTTGTTGCAAAACAACCTGCTCAAAACTGCAAAAGCATTTAAAGCGGAAACAGTAGTGGTAAGTCTATCTTTCTTGAGGTAGCCGATGAATAAATCGCTCTGCTGTGAGGAATGTCACCCTTTAAGTTCCGTGAATTTAAAGAGTTCGATCTCTTCGGGTCGTACACGTGCTTGTTGAAGGAAGTACTTTCTTGTTACCAACATGCTGCTTACTGCTGTCGACAAGTTATGCAAATAAACAAACGGTGGCAATAACTACGTACTAACAGAAATTACGACAA